TTGATCATTTCCCACCATGAGAAAAAAAAAGCTTAATGGAGAAGTTTTTTGGGGGGGGTGGGAAGTGAGGTTTTTTTTGCTTCATCTTTTTCATGAAGTAGTAGTAGTAGTAGACCCCACCTCGAGCTCAGAGCCACCCTGCCTCCTCCAAAGAGTGCCTCCCTCCCCCCTCCCCCCCCGCCTCCCTCTTGAAACAGACTCTATGGACTGCATGCATGACATTCCAGCTGTGTGGGTGGCACAGCCTTTTTTACAGCGTACACAGGGCTCCTAAAGCACAAGAACCTCCACCCATGATCTACCTTCAGATACCCTCCGTCACTCAGGAGCTCTGTTCTACATCATCCTTACCTGGGACAGTCCTTGAGAAACATGAATAAGTTGTCATCTAAAGGTAGAGAAGTTCATAGCAGGATGTGTTAAACAATAAGTCATTAAACACATATCTCTTTCCTTATTTTTCTTAAATCCTGAGACCTGCAGGTCATTTTTAATAGCTCAAAAAACATTTGTAGGATTATCAGCTTGATGCTTCATGACTTTAGGATACACATTTTGGGCTGATGATGTTTTAGACGTATGGTTAAATAAGCCTGATTACATTTCGTTAGCTGTGTTGGTGTGATTACTGCAGCACCCCTTAAACATCTCAAATAGGTATTTTTGGTTTTCTGAAATTGGTGTTTAAATATTTGTTTGTAAAAAGACTCAAAGTTAAACCTCACTATGTAAGATAACATGCTGCAGATTGTTATGGTCAGTAACTTTTAAATATGTACTGTTCATGCAAAGCTTAAATAACATGTAAAACAATTAAAAGGATAACTTTATGTCCATTCATGGGAAGGGTTACCACATCAATGCTTTTGTATTTGGTTTCATAGAGGTTTAAAAGACAAGAAAGAATATTTTAAGCCAAACGAAAATAGGTTGAATTTACAGTTTTTGTTATTGTTCATATTCTTACACATTTAAAACAAAAGTGTTGGACTCCAAACACTGAGGAAGTTAAGCGAATTCCGACAAAACATAATTGATAAAATGTGTTTTATGTTACTGCTTTTAATCTTCTTTATACTTCTCAAATTAAACAAAAACAATGGCCACTCTATCCATTAGGTGATTATACAATAACTTTAGTAAGTAAGTTCATTTCAAATATAAGAGTAGAGTTTCAGAAAAAGCAACATGTGTATGTTTCTACAAGAACGTTTATCCAGTGGTTAAAAAAGTATTTGTTTAATTTTGACTTTACTAAAAACCAAAGTAAATCTTCTGCACATAGAAACTTCTGTTTTCTTACTTGTTAATGTGTCAATTTTATTTATGTGCACCAATTTAATGTTTTCCTCAAGGAGCTTTACAATCTGTACAGTTTATGACTCCCTGTAGACCCTCTACTCAGACAATGAAAAACTTCCCAAGAAACGCTTTGACTTTATATGCAACAGTGATAATGTCATTATGGGCCCCCCCCAACAGAGTTGTAGGATTAGCAAACAGACAAACTCCACTTCCTCAAACCTACACACTGCCCCTCAACAATATCCTCCATTAAATCAATTAGTCATGATCCCAGAGGATTATCACTCAAGTTTTATTGAGGCTCCAAGTCCACTGGTGGGAGACATCGATTCTTAACCGCTGCCGATAAACAACAAACCTCATCCATAACTCACAGCCGCCCGACCGGTGTACATGGAGCTTGTTTTTCCCCTTTTTCCACAGGATGAGTGCATGAGCAGGGTCCAAAGGCGGAAAAAACTCAACCCCATTAACTGAACTTCAGAGGAATTCCTCACTTTACATACGGAATGCACTTTAGGTCAAAGGGCAAAGGGCCAGAGGGGAATCCACCCGCGCCCAGGCAGGCAGGCCTTATTTAAACAAGCCAGGAATGCCTGGTTGGACGAGAGGAGAAGAAGAAGAAGGGGAAGGAACCTCTCTGCCATTAACATGAGCAGGGGCCACCGCCAATAAATACCAGCACTTTTTAAATTACCTGCACTGGCTGACTTCATGTGCTACTGCCTCTGAAATTTATTGGGAGCTTTTCCTGGTAATATATTTACCAGTTAGACCTGGGATAGATGTTTGCCGCTGTGATAAAAAAGGGTGAAAGAAAAACACATATGTGTTTAATGTGTAGTGCAGGTAAAGGATCCTGGAAGTGCAGTCAAACCCCTGAAACATACACTTCCTATTTGTCCTTTATGTAGCTTTAATGTGGGGAAAATCCTCTTATTCGTTTCTTCCTGACAGAATCAAATATATTCTGTATCCTGCTGTTTTTTTATGGCTACACCACTACATCAAATTCAAGTATCTGCAACTTTTAATACACATTTCCCCAAATGTTTGCCATGTTTTTGCGATCCCAGACACATGTGGTACATTTAGCAGCTTTGGGATCTCCTCTCACATTTCTTTTTAAGGTTTAAATGAATAAAAACCTTTAATGTACTGCAATATAATTAATGATCCTTGTCATGTTTATTTTATGAGCTGTTTTAATGACTTATCATTAGAAACAATTCCTTGTATTCTTGCCGTCAATTTGCCAATCAAAGACAAATAAGGTGTTTCTATCGCTCTAAATAAAAACCTCTCCCTCTGATTCCTGCAGTACTCGGTTAATTGTAACTGCCCTATTACCTGCCCGTTTGTAATTTAAGGATCAAATGGTAGAGGACCCTACAAGCGCCTGTGGATACAAAACCCTGCATTCCGAGCGTGGGCTAACCTCTCAATTTTTAGGACCATCTCGCCAAATTTCCTACAAATGACATGCTACAATCCCCATGGCCGTGGTGGAATTCTGTCCCCTTCAGGGCTTCAAAGCTGCGCAGGACTCATGTCCCATCTGGCCAATAGGTGAAGAGGGGTGGACCCTGCCTGCCTTGACCTCACCGACCTTCCCCAACCCCCCACCAACCACCCACCCAGAGTCCTGTTCCTCATCCCCCCACCATCCATCCATCCGGTTGCAGCAGCCTGTCAGTCAGTGGCTGTCTGTTTGTCTGAATGTCTGTCAGTGACAAAGAACACTCTCAATGACTGTAATCACATTTTCCAGAACAGTGCCATTACTGATGCTCTTCCTCATTCTGGACCCCACTCATACATGAGCAATGAACAATGGTGGAAGAAGTAATTAGATCCTATACTTAAGTAAAAATGGAAATGCTTTGGTCTGAAAATACTTAATTACAAGTGAATGTCCTGAATACCAAATGTTACTGAAGTTAAAGTATTGCCAGCTAAAGATTCTTAAAGTGTTGAAAGTAAAAGTAGGCTACCCGTTTTGCACCATGGCTGTTTTGAAAGCATTATATTACTATAGAATATTAGACGACTTTTAATTGCTTATAAATACATGTAAGATCATTTAAATGTGTTAGTTTTTAAATATTAAGACAATTTTAGTTAAATATATTGGTAGTGACGTAGGCCTACTACATTAGATCATATCAAAATGTAATATGTTTTTATATGTAAACAGCAGCTGGTAACTACTCATTTGAAATAAATTAAGTGGAGTAAAAAGTACAATAAAGGAGTAGAAGTATAAAGTAGCATTAATTGGAAATACTCAAGTATGAACAAATAGTAGGCTACTTAAGTTCAGTAGGTTACTTGAAAGTAAATGTACTTAGTTACTTTCCACCACTGAGCTTTTACGTGTCATCTGATAGTCTTACAGACCTGTCAATGAATAAAACAGACAAAAGGTTTTACATCCGCCACATACGAACCCAGAGAGGAGATTTCAGTATTTATGGATGTGGATTGATTCATTCTGCAGCAGCCTTCCTGCAAACTCTTGACTCAGCGCCTTTGGTGTGTCATTGAGGCAGCCATTTTCCCATGAAGGCTCACGAGATGTGTCCCGGCCGCTGCCCTGCAGGAACCAATTACCTTTCTTTGATGAGTGCAGGCCTTTCATTTAAATTAGCTGCCCGATCTAAGATGGATTTATTTCCTTCTATTGTTTTTAATGACCTGCTGTTTCTCACGTCTCATTGGAGTCTCGCTGAGGAAACATGAACTTACACTGCTGAGTGTGTAGCATGTTGCTACAGATAAAGACAATGCAGCCCAAAGATGGCTATTCTGGATGATGAGCTTATATGCTTAATGTTGGTTGACATTTTCAAATATAACAAAAAAACATTGAGAATTGTGTGTTTGGGAACAGAAACTGTATCAGGACTTTCGTCATTCTGAGTTCTCTAACTGTGTTTTCAGATATTTGTGCTGTGTCGCCATCTGCTGGACGACATTGAATCAGCACGGATTGATGCATCTGCCGGTTAAAAGACCTTTGACTTTGCTGGTGTCTATAACTTTTAACATACTATATCCCTTTTTGTTCAACAGACTATACTATGACCTTTTTCAACCTACTATAATATGACTTCTTTCATATATTTTCTACGAACATAGCATTACATTTTTCTTGATATTTTAGCCTACTCTATTATTACTTTGTTCGACATAGCCTACTCTACTCTAACTTTTTTTCTAATAATCATAACAAAATAAGACCTTTTCCTTGATATTTTCAAAATACTACACAGTGACTTTTTTCACGATATCTTGAATTTATTTTCCTCATATTATTCCATATTTTTCGAAATACTAACCATTACATTTTGTATGAACGTTTTCAACATGCTATGACCTTTTTTGACAAACTATATTAGGACTTTTTAAACATATTTTTTTCACATTTTGTGACATATTAACAATATCCTTTTTTCAGATACTATGACTTTATTTTAGACGTACTATACTATGACTTTTCAATTTACTTCAACATTTTCCCTTAGTTGGGATGACTATTATTTATGTGAGATGTTTTCAAACACTGGTTTGAGTGGTATTTTATAAGCTTATCACGCATTTTGTAGACGTTTGATTTGAAAAGCAACTAATGCTTTAAAGTTAATGTAGTGGGGAAAATACAAGCGAGGTGACCCAAAGAAAAGGACACGGTGTTACAGTTAGAGTCATGTTTATTTACAGCAGAATCCTGAACAAGGGGAAAAAGGGTCAGAGGGAGCGGGTTAAAAGGAGACAAAGTGTTTTAGATGAAGCGCTTCAGGATTCATGTTTCACTACACAGTTCTTAATTTATTTATTCACCATTTTTCTATACAGAATCCATTCAGCTGTAATATCAATGCACCAACAGAGCTGGAGTACTCTGCTGGGGGGGAGGAGAGGTGGAAATAAAAATAAAAATAAAGCACTAAAGAAAAAGAAATACAAACAAGGTGGGTAAAAATAAATTCAATTTCTATAAAAAAAAACATTTTTGTTGTTATCACCATGATCGTCATCAGTTATTTATGTATGTACATATACACACATATATATGTATATATATGTATATAAATCTATATATTTCCTTGCCATGTCCATGAAGGGGGCTTGTGGTTCCAAGATGTCCGAGTTTAGACGTCCCAACCTGACAGCGTTCAGGTCATAATATTCAGCTTATTGAACCAGTCAGAGCTGACCCTGGCAGTCTTTCTGACCTGCAGCTTTAGTCCCGCCCACTGACGCTGCCCTGTAGGCGAGCTCATAGGTCCAGTGCCTTGGTGTGGGCCAGCAGAGACTCAAAACTGCAGTAGCCCAGTCGATGCAGTCTGAGAAATGATACACTGTACACATAACATGCACGGCCAGATAGCATAAAAAAGTAAAAAAAGAAAAGAAAAAGCCAGCAAACTGCGTCGTCCATAGGTTTCTTCGACTTCCTGCCGTGCGATCGCTCACACTTTTTCCAGTATACATTAGATATTAACTGACAAGCACCACAAAAAAGTGGAAGGACAATACAAAAGATTGTAAGACTGTCAGGGACCAAAGAGTGACAGAAAAACATCCTATGAGTTATTTTCTTATTTCCATTTTGGATCTGAGGGGCATGACTGATTTTATCCCCTCCCTAAATCCAAACGGACGTTATTATGTGATGATGACACACTCTCAAAACACATTTAACCCTCATCTCCAGGCTTTGAGTCCGAACGTTCACAATAGTCAGGTCTTCATCGACTGAGGTGAAGTTCAGGTAAGATGTGCTGTTGTGCTGTTCCACTTGTTAAAACGTATAAAAAGTGATCTCATATAATCATGCTCGGACATTATACATGTCTAAAATAAGATGCTTTTAGTGTTAACATGGCCTTAAATACATGTAGGTTGTGCACACAAAAAATCTGTAGAAAACCCAGCATGATGTATGGTGTGGTTCCAAGATAAAAAGTAACATAAAATACCTTAAAATTAATTCAACATTCATTTATTTGAAAAAAAAAAAACACTGTTTACATTTCCATCTGTCCGCAGAAGGACCGTTAAAAAGAAAGTGACCCCTGTGGAGTTTTTCTGTCAATTTGTACATTAGACACAAACCATTCGTCATGTGTTCATGACAACGTTTGATCCAACACGCCCAGCTCAATGGAAACCTGACTATTGTCATTGTTTTTTAACATTATCATGATTCAAATTAAAAGCGAGTAAAACAATCATTCACTCATCAGTTTCGTTCTCTCATACACACACACACACACAAATGCAAACACACTCTAACATGAGAGCAGGAAACTAACTTTTTCATCAACCAGCCACCGAGGCAGATGTTTTTTTTCATACCAAAGATCCATCAGCTACATTTCTATCACAAGCCAACAAACTTTAGAAAACAACCTCTAAATGATGGATGCTCACCAGTCGACTCGAAACAACTGGCAGACAAAATTCACCAAAATTCGGCTGTTGGCTGACGTCAGTTTCCCACCCTGTTCAACATGCTCCCGAACACAAATACAAACTCAAGATACCGCAAATACACATATATACAAATAGAAGCAGCCCCTCAAACGCTGGGGGCAGCTTAACAATTTATAATGCATCATTTCTTTATATGCCAAGAATAAAACTTTTCTAAATAAAATACATAGTTATCTGTGTGGGGGGGGGGGGGGGAATGGGGACAGCAGATGGACAGAGAGGAGGAGGGCGGGGCTCGCAGGAGTGTCAGAGGGAGCGCTGGGGAGAAGCCATTGTGGTGGGATGATGGGACAGATGAGAAAAGCAGGGGGAGGGAAGGGGGGAGACGGATGGAGGGGGAAGACTCTTCTCCTTCACTGTGTCGCTGCTCCCGAGCAACGTCCTGTGCCACTGCAACACTACGCCTCTTCTCCGTTTGTTTAAATCGTTCCATAATAATAATATTAATATTAATAATAAGAATGACCACGACAATGCTAAAAAAAAAATATATATATAAACCCCAGCCATGTCTCACAACCCTAAGTCCACAAAAAGGGGGAGGCCAGGCCCTCGAGTTCATCTGAGTCGGTGTAAAACAGAGAAGCAGAGAAAAGGAGGAAACGCAGAGAGAGACAAGAGGCCTGACGAATGGAACGAGGCCTTTGGAGGGAAGTGGCAAAATAGGACTAACTATAGAGAAGAGAAAAGGGAAAAAAGAGAGGAAGGGGGACAGAACAAACACAGCGTAGGCAGGATGTGCTATGATGAAGAGGAAATCAACAGAAAAGAGGAAGCGGAGATGAAACAGGGGAGGATGTAGGAACCAGAGATGAGTCGTGTCGGGGCGTTGTGATCCACACACTGGTGTCCTTCTGAGGGTTTTCACAGAAGATTGGCGGAAAGCATGAACAAGTGATGACAACATGGCCTCACTGTGAGTGTGCCCTCTCTCCTTCCCTCTAATAAAAAGGTAAAGGATCCGCAGTCCTCCCCGCACTGGTCAGTATTTCCCAGGGTGCATCATACCTCCAGGAAGCGGGAGCTGCTGGTCTTGGTGTGGAAGGGCTCGGACCACATGCGCCGCAGATCCCCCTGAGGAGCAGACGGGAGACACAAAATGAATCAAATGTTCGCTGATCCTTATCCACAGGGTCAGCCAAGACAACTGCTTTTGACTCTTTATTGAGGTAAAGAAAGAAAAAGTGTTATATTTTCTTTTATTCTACGACTTAAACTTAGTTTTTAGCCTTTAACATTCCCTGAGGTAAATCCTTGATGTCTAGTGACTGCCTAATCCAACAAAAAGGAAAAAGGTTGTGAGGAAATCATGAAACGCTTCTTTGTGGAGGCGTTCTGTTAAACTGATCTGTTGGGTTTTCAATGTAACAGTTTACAATCCATTTCCAATACTTCAACAGATTAGAAATGAATCCCATCTGCTACAGCCACATTTTTGGGGTATTTGTATATTATATGTGCAAATTACATAATTTCAGTTATAATTAAAATACTCTAAAAAAGTGTAATCCATCTGCACAATAATCCTTCATGGATTATTCTGCGAAACTGCTACAGCTGAACTAAATCAATTTTATTTATATAGCCCCAATCACACATTTGCCTTGGGGGGCTTTACAGTCTATAAGGCACACTGTCCTTTTCAACCCTTGCTCAAGATCAGGGGTTCCCAAACTTTTCAGCCCGCGACCCCCAAAATAACGGTGCCAGAGACTGGCGACCCCTGTCAACGGGCGGGGGGGGGTGCTAGTGAATTCATTCAAGTTTTTCGCACTCTCGCGGGAATATCTCCGCAATGGAGCGAGCTTAAGTTTCACTTTCGATTGCATGATTTAGCCCAGCGCAACACCTTCGTCTTCATGTTGCCACTTGTTTGTACCATTTTCAGGCGATTTGTAATCTGTTCTAGAAAAACTATGTTTTTTAGGATTTCAAGAAGCGTATAAAACAAACAATGGATGTATTTCATGAACATTTATCCATGCTGGAAGTAGATTTATATGTTTTAGGAGTGAGATAGAGATTATTATCTAATATATGCATCCAATGAAGCATTGCATGAAGTCTGCTGATGATCAGAGGCTGTTGTTGGGGCTGCATAAACGTTTTATTTTTGTTTTGTAGGCAGACCATGCAGGCCTCAGAGAGTTAAACTTGGGCCTGCGACCATAGTTTTACTGTATTTTGTTTTGAAAACAGCGGAGGTTTGTGTCGTACTACATGCGGTGTGTTTTGCATATCTCTCAGTAGTCTGTTGTCTCGGACATAAACTCCGTAATAAATGTAGTCTACATTTCATAAGAGGTGTAAAACCTGAGAGCATTTTTTCGCGACCCCCACTTTGGGAACCCCTGCTCTAGATAACACAAAACTCCCAAAAACAAATTGGGGGACAAAAAATGTGGTGTGTGTTGCTGTCCTGTACCTTCAGGTAGGCCATAGTGAGCAGAGGCAGCAGGGTGAAGGGCACCAGGTAGAGCAGAGCGGGCTGAGCAGCACGGTGGATCCTGGAGGCCACAGTGGCCGTCAGCAGACCTGGAGACAGATCATTGTTAATCACATGAGAACTGTACGTGTTCTTTATTTTAAAATATACTCCAAAAACCTGAAGGGAAAAATTGAGATTCGAAGAACAACACTTTTTGGGAGACACATAACTAATGGGACCCGCTTACAGACAAGCTTCACACTGAAACAATGAGACCCTTGACCTTTCACATCCATCCTTCCATTGATTGCTTGCTTACCCACAAAGTATCCGACGAGAGTGCAGTGGAAATAGGAGACGCGCTGCATGCGTCCGGAGATTGGGACTTCCCCATTGGCCTGCTTCTTGTAGTTGTCATAGCGCAGGACGAAGCATAACAGCAGCCCCGGCATCACGATGTCTCCGATTCCCAGCATTGAGAAGTGACTTCCTGTGGAGCTGCATGGATTGGAACAAACATAGAAATAAGTCGGGAAGATCTAAAAACATGGTCAAGAGTAAGAGCCCCGACGAGTCATGGAAAATAAATACCAAGTACATATTGGTCCAAACCAGATGTCAAATCTGACTATTGATATGTTAGCCGCCTTGTGGAGCTGTAATGCTGAAATTGCAGCAGAAAATACAATTTCCATCACTCTTACCTGGGAAAGACCAGTTTTCCAGGTAAGGAGAGGCGGGGAACGTCGCGGCCCATCCCAGGTCCCAAGTGGAGCTTCCTGGAGAGAACATCTATGGGATTTTCAGCCGGCTGGGTGGCAACTTTCACCATCACATTACTATTGAAGATGTAGGCTGAGAAGAACACCTGGAGGGAAAACGCAGAGTTAGGCTGGTAATATTGACATATTCTCATCTCAATTTCAACAATCATTTGGTGACACTTGTGTTAGCATAATTAGCTGAAGGTGGTCATTGCTTTTGCGATTTGTGCTCAATGAAGGAGCTGATTCAAAAGTAAAGACAAGGCCAGATGTAGCTAATAAATCAAATCTTAATCTATAGGTACCAGGAAAAGACAGCCATAAATAAATGGATTTTGATATCTCAGAGGAAATTGGGATGTTCATCTCAATGTTGGCTCAGTGAGACGGATCCTTTTAATCATTCATCTTGTTCATTTCTGTTCATTAGTGTTGAATTTTGTGTTCAGCTATGATGGTGATTAATGCAGCAATGCTTACTACCCGGTTCCTCCAGAACACACTGCTACTTGAAAATAGAAACTGCATCACTTCCTAAGCAACACATCATCTGGCTGGCAAGGAGGTATTTGCTTGTGTATGTTTAGAATGTAAGGACGTCCTTAAGCTGTATCATTACTATGTTGTTAGATGTGGGATAAAGGGATAATTTATGTGGACGTTTTGTTTAATGAGTTTGTCCTTGTAAACACGGTCTAGCTGCTGTATCTCACAGCAGGGTCTCGTACGTCAGCTGTGACGGGGGGGGCAGTTATGGATGGGAGCATGTCTTACCCAGAACACATCATAAATGAGCAGTCCTGACAGCAGCAGGCAGGAAACCTTCAGACTGGGGAGCCGCACGAAGGCTATCATGGCGACACACAAGCCCATCGCTAGAGCTGAGGGGAGGGAAAACACAAGATATCAAAAACACAGTTCTGCGTTTCAGCAGAAATACGCTGAAATTAAACATGAGAACTAATTCAAGCACATTCATTTAAGAAACATTAATCACTGTGCACACAGCCTAATTAATTAGCCAGACTATTCTGATGAAATGTTGTGCTAATTCACTTTTGGGTGCACGAGGAAAGAGGATAAGAAACAAGAGAGTGTTGGGACTGAACATGAGCATGATAGGCTTTGAATGCACAGATGGTTTGAGTCAATAAAAGCACATTTCACATAATAAATGTTTGTGTGTATACTCGCCATTATCTCTAAAACAACCAGCACTTAGGCCCTAAGCACAATACCTAACTGCTGCTAATGCAATACTTGTCAATGTTAAACTCATGTATGGTATTTCATTTTGTATAGATTTCCTTTTAAAATATCATTAAGTATGCCGTTAAGTGGATTGTGAAAAACAAAAGGAAATTAGATTTCATTAGACCGGCACAGAATAAATGCCAGAGGGGGACAACATTATTTCACTTGTTCTCATGAAAGGGAGACACGCAGTATGTCCAGCTTGTGTCGAGGTCCTCTTAAGATTGTGCATATTTTATGAGTCATTTCCAATTCAAATGTTTCATATTGTGTATGTTTCTTTTTGATTATGTGTAGCTTTTTATGAGGGCCGCATTGTTCACATTTCTGAAGAAGACAGTAATGTTTGAAATGACGTCAACACGGTCAAATAATACAAGTGCACACACCCACATGCTTTCCTCTGCTCAGCACTAAGATTACAACTTTGATCAAGACCAGTTAAATGCCTGTTATATAGCAGCTGACTAACTGTAGTGTGTTCTTGCTGTATTGGCATGCATCACCCTGAAGAGCCTGAAAATAGTGTTGCTCAAATCTGCATATCGCATGAGTCACAATGTCAAGCTCCTTCTACCAAAAGAGATGATGGAAATTGATCTTTTGTCTAGAAGATTAAAAAGGCTGAGTACATATTATGTTATTCCCAGAATCACAGTTAGCAGCTATGCTAAGAAAACTCCCCACACAGTTAAATACATCTTCTAATGGGCAATGTTAGGAGAAATGTTTCACAGAATACAACCTGCTGCAGAGCTATTCTCTGGAAATATGGGAAAGAAACTGAATGATTGTGAATGGAAACACTGAGACGACAGTCCTGAGAGTGAGTGACGCACCGTCCATGAGGAGCCAGTGTCCAGTCAGTACCCAGATGAGCACCAGGAGAACGGAGAGGGAGAAGGACAGGAGCTCAGCCAGGGTGAAACGCCCACAGCAGCCAAAGGAAATCCTGCAATAAGAAAAACAAGAGACACTCTTATCTAGATCGCACAGAACTAAGCTTAGTAAACATAAGAGATGTAGGGAGAGATCTGTGGGATTTCTCAGCATCAGAAAATGTGAAACATGCTGGCTAAACAGGCCAATACATTTGAGTGGTATTTCAATACTTGACAAAGAACAAGTAGGATGAGAGAGCATTGACTGGTACGAGTGAGTGGAGATATTAAAAGCCAGTGAAGAGGGTACAACGATTCATCCAGATAGTTTTGGCTAGCTAAAACTGGTTACACTGTTATTGTTGAAACATCTGAAGTGTTTTTTGTTGTCTACCTAACAGCTTCAAGTGCATTGCCACCTCCTTCTGGACTGGAGGGCTGCTGACCTTACATTTGCATATAGCTAGAGAAAAAGTCTAAATTAATCTGTCTTAAATCTCAACTGGATTTGATCTCAAAAGACAAGGGGCCTGAGACGAATACATGTGCAATATATAGCCTATAGAGGTAGGAGACTGTGAATCTGTAACGAGAGGAGGCGTTCATATTGGTTATCTATAGGTGTGTTTATTGTTGGTGGTTCCTTGTGCTTAAGATGTCCAGACACCTGAACCTAAAAGCTTTTAAATAGTTTGTTCATAGGGAGAGAACATAAATGTTAAAGGGCATATAACACTATGTACTAAGCGAATATAGTACATGAGCTTTTGAAATAGTTTTAAGACATACAAAACAGCATGGAGCAGTTTAAGCGACAACATACATGATCCAAAGGCACCTATACACATGAGATTTCCTTACTTGTTCACTGGGGCGCATGGTTTGGTCACATACTGGCACATTGGCAACAAGAGGAATGCAAATGCAATTGTTGCAAGAACTGAGGAAGAGAACAAAGCACAGCGGTGAACAAAAAAAAAACCACACTGCTCGTTTTATGTCAGTTTAATGCGGCAGCTAATGTTCTTTACAGTTTTAACAATAAACGCAGATAAGAGGCCTGTCTCAGTGTGTAACTACTGAGCAGAAAGGTGTAATCCTACCGCTGTGGAGTTTTTTGTGTTACGTGGAGGAGCGCTCACCTGCAGTGCAGATGGTAAAGACCACCTGTACTGAGTCAAAGAAGAAGAACATGACTAGCAGAGACACTGAGGCTCCTATGGGCAGGAACAGGGCCTGTGTGGAGTCTATAGTCTGAATACCTGCAAAACAATACACACGAGGAAGTGAGGAGAACTTAAAGATACAACAAATGGTTATACTTTTATTTCCAAATAAATCTTGCGTCGGGGGTTTTTTTTTTTGTCCTTGCCTTGTATGTAACACTCACTGTTTGAGTTGCTGTTATTAAAAGACCCTGGCAAGGGGTTCCCATCTTTATCCTTCTCCTGGTTTTCACAATCCATGTTTAATGACCTGCAGGGGGAAGGGGAGGAAGAGCAGGAGAACGTGTTAGACTCAGTAATCACAATCTCAGAAGCAAACGGTGGATATGAGGCTGTGTAGGAGACTTCTGTTCACTACAACTCCTACAAAGCGCTAGCTGTTATTTATAGACAGATAATAGCTCTGTCAATGGAAGATGACTCAGTTGGTCTTTTCATACGTTTGGGGGAAAAACAGCCTTTCCTTTATGTTGGGAATAACAGTAGAGGTAGTTGAGAGCATTCTTTCTTATTTACTTCAATCAGTTACAAAAGAATGACGTGTGGTTAAAGTGTTGAAATGATGACTACATTTGGCAGACCTGCAGACACTTAAACCTGAAAGAACTTCCTCACATCAACCAACTAAATATTTTTATTTCCTTGCTGTGGTTCTTTCCTGTTCATCTCAGACAAAAGTGAAAGTCTTAGAAAAAGTGTATTTCCTCTTTATTGCGACATGTTTTTCCTCCCTACAGGTGAAGGCCTTCATCACAAGACAGTTTGGCAAACATAGTTGCTTTGTCACATTAGGAAAATGAAAGAAACCTCTCACATTGCACGATCTGTATTATTATTATGTTGCATTGTTGGAGAAGCCTGTGACATAAGATTTTCAACAACATAATTACTCTGTAGCTATGTCAGTTTGACAATAAAGAACCTTGAACCTTGATAAATCTTTAACCTGTTGCGTTATGTAGCAAACAACAGAATTTCCAGAAAATCTACAAGGGAACCCCAGCTAAGTGCATGAAACCTTTTTTTCAATATCTAGCTTTTAAATGGATGGAAACTAAATGACTGTGTTATGATTTCATCTCCTGACAGCAGCAGCTGCAGACTGTAATGAGCTCAGCTTGATCTGATCGGTTCAGCCTGAGGATTTAAGCCTGTGAAGCCATTTACTTGATCATAAGACTTATCTAAAAAATGTGTTTTGTCCTAATGCATAAAGCAATCCAAAATCCATTAGGTGTTGGTTCTTTCAATGCAGCAAATGCACCAAAATCACATTATGTGTAATGTTCACCGGGTATCTTGGACCGGGAAAGAGTCAGACATGGATGCAACGAGTGGTCTTTTACCAGAAAATGTGCATTATTACTAGATTGAACCCTCAGGAACTGGTTTATGTTCCAAAATGAGACAATACACCATGACACTTTGAAGCAAAAGCTTTTGTAAACAAAAGGCCTTTTGTTGAGAGTGGCAGTCATAGCAAGAAGCCTGTGACTGAGTTTAAAGCATCAACTGTTATTTTAGAAATCACAATAAACAATTATAAGATGTCTTCAGTGATTGTCATGTTATATTAAATGTGTTTTCCCTTGTGTTAAATATGTGTCCATTCTGCAGTGATGCAAGAAGAAATTCAGACTTGATCTGACAAAGTTGTTTTTATCGTATCATGAACTTCTGGAGGTTAGAGGTGTAATAATGCAAACAAGGTGTCTTCTGTAAGTCAGTATTTAGAGACACTCACCTGAAGCTGCCATAAACGATGAGGAGGATGGAGATGAGGAAGGTGGACACCTGGCTGGAGTCAACTAGGGAGTACGCCCTGGAGAGGAGAGAGAGATACAAACAGGAACATGAGTACACGCGTATATGTGGTGATACTAGGGCTGCTCAATTAATCGTATTTTAAATCGCAATTACGATTTTGGCTTTTGCAACGATTATGAAAACAACAAATCTAAATAAAACGATTTCTTTGAATTTCTTTAATTTTTTATTATTGGTTTTTCAGTTGAATTATACTTAAAGTTCAGGATAATCAACTGTTTTCAATAAATGGATGTTTTCAAAGTAAATGGATAATCGTTTTTAATAATCGTGATATCAATTATTGACCCAAATAATCGAGATTATGATTTTTGCCAAAATCGAGCAGCCCTACGCGATACTGCAAATTACCTTTAGTGTAATACTAAACATAAAAGTACACAGTGTTTCTGAGTCTAAACATGGTCAGTTTCCATAACAACGGCCGTCAAACTGATATAGAGTGGCGAAGTCCCTCCCCTTCCGGTTGAGCCCCATGGGACCTTATTTCGGAAAAGTTATGCATTGAAGTCAATGGAGAGAGAAAGATTATCTTTCGATCCCGTTTGAATTGTGCCACGAATTACACATATGATGTTTGTCAATTTAAAAGATAATTTTGCAAGTCAAAAAAATAAAAATGTGTCGTAAAACTGTGAAGTAACACATTTTTTTGTGTGAAACGCTAAATGAACTACATCTCTGGTCAACCACACACGTCACCAAGATGGCCGTCACTACTGTCTTGTCAACAAACGATTGACTATCACCACAATGAAACACGTCCTGAAGAATGTCATGCAAAGCTGCCTGCCTGCCTTCCTTTGATTCTCTCTGAACTGCCTGGTCGTTTTAATGTTTAATGTCAACCATTTGTGCAGATAGCATGAAGTAGAAAAGATCGCCGATGCTAACGTTAGCGTTAGCATTTCTCCCCCGGAATTAAATGGTGTATTATAGAACGATCACACCGGTGACAGTACTATTCAAAGGGTTCACGAAATATGACTACTACTCTTACTGTTTAACATTTTGGGTTACTTAATGTTACTTCATGTTAAGGCTAATAAAAATGACAAGGCTGTAATGCTAACTAACGTGCTAGCTACTAGCTAGGTAGCTAACTTGATCAAGCCACTCCTGGTCGTTTCATCAGACGGGAAGCAAAAGAACGAGCAAGACCCATTGCTGGTATAATAACAACCTGGTACTAAGCACACAGGCATCTTGTTAAAGTTATCTTATCTTAGCCAGCGCCATATAGATAGATTATATCTATATTGCGCTGACCTTCGGTATCTGAATGGTGGAGGAAAACAATTGTGACATCACTTACGCGACTCTGGGATTTGTAGTCTTTCTAGTTACGTATTTTTCATAGTCTTATATTTCAACAGTTTTACGACAAACTCTGACTTTTTTGACATGGAAATGATTTTTTAAGATTGACAAACATCATATGTGTAATTCATGGCACAATTCAAACGGGATCGAAAGATAAGTTTTCTCTCCCCATTGACTTCAATGCATAATTTTTCCGAGATAAGGTCCCATACCCCGGAAGTAAGTGGGAGGGACTTCGCCACTCTATTACATCGATTAATGGTAACAACTTGCATTGTTTACTTTTCTACTCAACACACATTGTCCCTTCCTTAAGTTTCACATGAACAAAGTAAATGACGCATTTTGAAAAGACTCCAAGATTACAAGCCCTTGTTAATGTGCTTCCTCCTTTTGTTGGTGCTGCCAGGAATTCAGTTAGCAGGCAGCGATTTGATATTGATGATTATTGTTGTGATTTTTGGAACTTGTTTGTGAGCATATTGCCGATCCATTACAAGCTGAGGTGAGAGAAAAAACACATTTGTTGATGGTCTTCAATCCCCATCTGATGCACTCAGATTCCTGTCATCCTCCAGATCAATTCAATGTTTCCCGACTTTGTTCTTTAAAGTTCAATAAGTCACTTTAATTATTTATTATTATTGAAGAGGGAAATCTGTCCCTCTGCCATTTTACCCTGCATGAAGCTTCTCCAAGAGAGAGAGAGAGAGAGAGAGTTGGCCAAAGGACACACTTTTTGTTAAATATCACAAAAGACTGTTTCATGAATATCTGACTGTACATCTTTCCTTTCAAACAATGCAACTAAATGTATTCTATATCACACACACCACCAAGCAGACTTTGAAATACAAAACAAATATGTCAGGTTATTAGCTGTTGAGGCTAATATCCCAATCGAGACAGTGAGTCATGAGAATGATTGGCTGTTTTTTGCCACAACTTAAATTCATATTATGAGAGAAAACAATAGCATGAACACCTGCGTAATAAGTTCTAGCCTCGGTTTAACTGTGCAGGTATTCTCTTTTCCACCTACTTCATATTCAACTCCAAAATACACAATATCAGATCAAAACCATTGTGTCACAGTTCCCTCTATATTTTTGATATACCACATGCTGTAGAAAATAAGAAAAAAGGAGTTTGCCAATGGTAATTTCAGTCAATCATTTCAGATGCTGCAATTTGACAATCCCACATCGGTCGGGGGCATTTTATCACCACTACTTTGAATCTCTGCAGGCACAGGGGACACATTTCCCCCTCCAGCCAAACATACTTCCACAACCAAAATTGATGTGTGTGTGTGCGCCGGATATAATGTATATATAAAAAGGGAACTGGGCCGACTGTTATCAGTGTAGTCAAATAATAAGACAAGAAGAATTTACAATGCTTTTGAGTGAATGCCTCAAATGATATCCAATACAATGTGAATCATTTTGAATCCCCGCTACACAAATGCTGCCGTTAGGACATAAATGTGTTCCCAGAGAACGGTGGGTGCCACAATTACACCAAAACAATTCAATAATAAAAACGGCAAAAAAACTTTTGAAAAATCTACAGTCATACAGTTAGAGAAGGGGTTTATTCTGACAACGGTTTGGTCTACTTACTATTAATTAGGCCTTTTCACAGTTATAATGTTTAATAAAATACCTGAGCAAGCTGAAATGCACCAGCCAATACTGTCAATACAAAAAAAAGATCATACTGTTCATGCAAGACATTCCTTCTAGAAGATTTGTCATCATCTCTAAACTATATAATAGAAAACAAAATACAGCATACCAGTCTAGGGCTGGGCGATTGATCAAAAACTATTTTTAGTTCAAACTAAACTGCATTCCACTTCACAATTATACTATACTTTTGTTCCCTTTCTTTTACAATCGGATCTAGGACAGCTTGGTAAAGCCCGGGGTGAGGTTGGTCCACACCCAAACATCATCACTTCCTGGTTGTTGCTGCACCCCTCTCTAATTTCTATGGACACAAAGTTCTCCATAGATCTAGCCTCTTAATTGTGATATCAAAGATGTTTGCCACAGTCAAACAGCTCTAGTCTGGGTTTATTTTATCTGCAGACATTCATTCATTGACTCAAGTAACACAGTCAACATTAAATTCTGCAAACATCTTGAATCCTCTTGCAATCTGTACATGTTATTGTGTTTCGTGAGACTGACTTGAAATACTGAAGAGGAGCTGACATAAGCATATGCTCAGCTAGGCTTATGTTAAAAAAAAGAGTATTAATACACTTTAGATTGAAGATTAGGCATCTTAGTTCGGGTTTAGGAGTGTTATTTCTTGAAAAAGGATGAATCTCGCAGCTCATTTTAAAGTCGGTTAAACAGTATAAAGAAACAGATTTCCATGGATCTCAGAAACAAGAGGCTGTAAGATTTTACATCTAACCAATCCTAAAATGTCTCTTGTCAAGACATGTATGATCAGGCTTCTAGTTTGCAGACTGGTGTTGTGTCAACGCAGCAAATTGTTCCCATATAAATGATCTGGGGGCTTGACGTAGCGTAGACTTGACATTCAACCTTATAATGCAGGCCTTTTTCCGCGGCAAAGACAAGGCTGCCATTGTGAAGGCTGCCTGCAGTTTGGAGGTGCAGGTTTGACCCCGACCCTGACCTGTCTGTCTCCGTCTCTGGGTGAGGTATGCATGTTGAAGTTAAAACACACAATAAGACTAGTGAGCCCCAATAAAATCATCATCATCTCAGTCTGCACTAATGCATCATACACAGGAATCTATAAGCCATCAGCTGAGCCATTTGTCTGACTTATCAGCTCTATTCAACCCAGTGAGGACGCTGATATCGTTTTAAATTGGTATGAACACTATCATGGGCTGTGTTGGAAACTTTCCAAATCTAGCTACTTCGTGCACTATATTTCACACTGTGCCATTTTATTTGAGTTTCTGAATTCAATATAATGCACTAAGAAATGTCCCTAAATGAAAATAAAAACCCTATTGTGCGTTTCAATACCCATGCTACCATTAGTATGCAAGACAAATATTGTTGAAATACATAGAATTACACGTGCAGTATGCCAAACATACCAAGATGTCCTACTGCATTAAGGTGCAATTTGTAGTATGAGCACCAGCATAATTTTCTGGCTATTCTGAATCACAATCCATAGCACAGCAGATATATGAGTGAGGGGGTCAAAGTTTGAGGCTTAATGTTATGAAGAAATATCCCAATTGTATGCATACTAAGTGCAACAGTATATTCTTTGTAAGTGCAGCTGCAGTACATACTTAAAGGAAAGAGAAAGTATACAACTGGGTACGCAGACATAGGATCCAAGGTCTGTACAATATGTTTGCTTAAAATCCCATAATGCAACCTGTCACATTTTGGTTACACAAAACTGCACTTGTCTTGCATATATGTAGGACATTATGTTACTGCAGTACATTAATGCCAAAGATATGTTTGAGGTAGTTAATACAAAGACACACGATCACATAGTTTGTCCTCCACAGTTTATTATTCAACTGTATATGTCACACTGTATAAAGGGTAAGGTATACTTAGCAGATATTTTGAACTCGTATAACCGTAGTGGCCTCAACAAGTCAGCATTGTGTGGGCTATATCAACCACTTTCATTATTCTCAAATGATTGAGA